TAGGAACAAGTGCATCGCTTCTAGTAACAAGTGCCTTACTAGTAGTAACAAGAAGCTAGTAGTAACAAGTGCATCGCTTCTAGTGACAAGGCAGTGTATGACATGGGCACTTCAGGAATTGTATTTGTCCTGCTTTGCAACTGCAAATCTGATCAGGAGCCTTTGCACCCTCGCTTTCGTTTGACTGCTGGAGTGACCTCTGCTCAATTCAAACATTTGACCCAGTCCACCTATCAAAGAATGGTCAGAAGAGTATGCTGGGCATAGTCACTTGTGTTTGGTGCGACTTTCGTTTCCGATGTCATTTCTCCTTAAAGCTCACCGTTCGTATGACACCGTGCCAGGATGTGGTTCGGAAAGAGGAGGAGATGCAAGTTGACGTTGTTGCGCCCTCAAAAGCGGGGGAAGTCTTTACAGATGGGCAAATTCACAAGACCTCCAGATGAACACCAGATGAGAATGGCCTCCTATCTACTAGCGATGGCCTCCAACCTAAGAGAAATGGCCTCCAACCTAAGAGAGAATGATCATGTATGATCTTTGCTTTGACTTCAACATTAGCCTCCGATGCCAAAAGTCTAGAATGCTCTCTACGGTCTACTCTGAATGGCAAGAGTACCCCTGGGCATGCTCTTGCTACCTCATGCTACCAAAAGTGCATGTATTTAAAAGGGTGCCATTGGGATCCTTTTTGACAAGACTCGCAACCTTCCCACTCCTTGTGGGATCGTTGAGTACAGTGAGTATGGTGATGGTACGGTGATGTTGGAATCCACAGCGCCTCCAACCATAATTTTTACCGTTGAACTTTTGAGGTCTCCATGAAAGATATCGGTGGAGCAACAGAGGTTGCCAGCTCTGGAGACTGCAAGGTGTCGCCGGGCTCGCGACATACGAGAGTGGTGTAACTTGAACCTGCTCAGCAACGAAAAATAATTACCACGACTTGGTTTAAGAATGTTTAAGAGAACGCCCCTAAGATGCCCCGAGTTTTCTTGACGTTCACTATCCCCAGCACTTAAATCTAGAATGCCATGGGTGCCTTGCAGAAAGCTACTCCCACTGAGAACAAGAATCTCCCCTTCACAAATTGGAACAAGTTGGCAAGGTGTCAGAAGTTCGACGATCTCCTGGCCTTCCTACTAGGAGTAAGGACCCTCCTGGCATCGCTACTAGGAACAAGAAACTACTATAGGATACTATAGGTACACCTTTTGTAGCGTTCCGCATCCGATTTGCAATGTCTCGGTCGAGACCGGCACAGAGTGCCGTTCCTGTGCCAGGTGCGGTTGAAGCACAGCCCCTTTGAGTTGCACTTCATCGTCAAAGATGAGGTCACGACAAAGCAGAGCAGAGTGGAACAGAGTGAAACAGAGTGAAGCAGAGCAGCTATCCTCCTTTGCTTTCATTTTCTCTACGCCCTGGTAGCGCTTTGTACTTTGCACAGCTTTAAGGCTTCGCTATGGCTTCGCTAAAAGAGATTTCTTCTCGAGATTTGACGAAGTCAAGGTCGTTCAGAAGCTCAATTCGCAGCACCTCTTGAATTTCGAGCGGTATCGGCCGAGGGGCTCGCAGCACCGACTCGGTTGTTGCCAACTATACAACATGGGGCTCAAAGATTTGTTTTTTACATTTTATGTTTAACTTTATTATACTTACTTTGTTCATGTTTGTTATATATATATATATATAATAGTTCTCAATGTTTCACATCAAGTTGTTTTTGCCCGATTTGCTGCCAGGCAGCCTCACGCAGGCTTGGTTGATGCCACAGATGTGGACTCCAATGACCTCTTCGAGGTGGGAAACGCCCGGTCGGCGCAAAAGACACTACTAATACAGTAAAGACAAGTCTAAATGGACAAGTCTAAAGGTTAAGTATCCCAACTCTTTATGTTTTTAGGAGTTTGCTTTCGATCTCCACTCCATAAATTGGCAAAACCGAAAGGCGACCCGACACAGCTGTAGCAGCCTCCTTCAGCTTGCCCGCTCCCAATGAAGACCCTTTGTCTAGCGTAGCATCCTTAACCATTAGGTTAGGTTTGCCTGGATTTCGCTCCGAATAGCGAGGGCCTCCAACCTACTAGCAATGGCCTCCAACCTACAAAACACTCTGGCTCCAGCATGCTTCAACCATCCACATAGCAACGAACACCTGATGTCTTTTGAGCACCTTCCCGCCATGCGAGAGTCACCAAACTAAACATGTCTAAAGAACACTGCAGTGGCCATTTCACCATCAACCCCCGCTGATACCTGACAATGAAACGAAAAGCACTGCCTGCAGATCTGCTTACAACCTAGCCTTGGATGTGTTTGACCCTGACTTGTAACAAGCTATTTAGCGCAGGAATCGGTTCAGATAGGTGGGACAATGACCAGGACGGCACAAATCTTCGTAGCATGCTGTGTAACAGGACGGTAGCTTCGGATCAGGTGGATCAGGTGGTCCTGTCTCTCACTTTGGAAGTGTCTACCTACTGCCAGCTCTACCATGACTTGACTGAGCGCTTGCCGGTGAGAAGAAGCCGGTCGTGTATCTTCAACAATGCCCCAGCTCAGTGAAATGGACGGCAAGCGAACCCCTTGCCTTGAATGCGATTGCACATCCACCTTTGAGCCTGACTTCTTTGTCCAGTTTGTTCCACTCCCTCTGTCAGAGCACAAATCGACGATTGTCTGACATGGGCCTGGCCAAAAGATAGTCGCTGAAGGAAATCCGCTCAACGCGGCTTGTGATTTTGTCAGAATAACACCCGGGCACCTTCCAGGGTTTAAACATGGCATCATTCCGAACAGGTACTTAAGATTCACACAGGAAGTTCTCATTGGATATTGCAGCATTGGTGCTTTTGGATACTGGCGTTGGTTGTTTCAGGAGAGCTTTGGTGGGCATACCGACAGCAAGCCACGTGGCCCTGCTGGCGTGGGGATCGATGTGAGCTTCGAGGAGAGCCGCAGGGCATTGTCTCAGTCTGCTTTGTCTTCGGTTCAGCGCAGGATGCGATTGACGTGTTTGGTTTGGCAGAGCATGCCACCGGTCTGGGCTTGGCTGAAAACAAGCTCTCGCCCTGCACTCGGAAGACGCGCAGTCACACAGTGATATTGGTGGTAGGGTGGAAGAACCCTTTCACATGTATACGTTCGTTTGATCGGTTTAACCGTCAAAGGACTCCTTGGCAGGTGCGACTTCAATTCATTGTGCGACTGAGGCCCTATCGGTTCTTCAACCTGGATGTTTTTGAATATGTCGGACGCCGAGCAACGCCAACGGATCTGAATCGATCTTCTCAGTATTGCTTACAACACGTCAAAAGGCAGCACAGCGTGGCAACAGAAGGAAACATGATGAAACATGACCATCCTAAACCCCAAACACCGGGTCACTTCGCGCCTTCCCAAGCGGTCCAAGCAGGCTTCCCCCCTCAAGTTCGCCGTCGCCGCGCGGTCTCGACCGAGATTTCGTTGCAAGGCTTTGGACGTCCCAATGGCGCTCTATGGGGCGGCCGGGAGCCTTTGCTACGGCTGAGTGCGAGAACTGAAGGCTGATTTGGACTAAGATCCCTTTAGTGACTGCAATCCACCAGCCAAAGCCCGAAGCTGAGACTTCAGATCGGCTCAGGTCAAGAATTCGTTCACCTAGGGACCTTGCATCTACCTGTCTTTTTGAGAATGCGTGTGCTGCAATAGGTCTGGCGGTGCCTTCGCGAGTGGCTTTTTCTTTCCAAACCCGCTGGGGGCCATTCTGAAGCACCAGCTGTGTCCAAGACAGATACTTTGAGCACAAGAACTGTGTCGACAGATACTGTTTGAGCGGCATGGACGGCATGGACCACTGGTAGCAAGAAGCTACTTTGTGTGTTCTTGGCTGTGGTAAATCCTGTGCTGCAATGCCGATGGACGTGAGGTCAGAGGGGTTTGTTCACGTGGAAAAGCAAGGCAGGTTCTAGTGATTGTCGTGCGGTGTCCTGTGGCGTTCTTCGTCCCACCTGGCGAGGTCATGCAACGCGTAGCTGGTGGCTCTTTGAGTCTGGTGTGATGGACATGCACCTGCCTAAGCCTACCCTCGCTCACCGTGTTTGTTAGTGACCTATGACTCTATGACTGGGACTGCTACTGTAAGTGGGCGACTGTTACGGTCAATGGACATGCAAACAACATTTGTCCAGCCCGATGATGGTCCGGTGAAAGGCAGTGTCCTTGCTCGCCGGTCTGAGGTTCTTCCTCGCTGGCCCTGCTCCCCAAGACGTGCTACAGAGGTGACCTGGGACACACGTACAAGGGACAAGCGTCAACCCGAGTCAATGGTTCACAGGTACCACATGGTGACAGGGCACGAGCCTTAAAGATGAGAGACTTTGGGCAAAGACAGGCATCAGGGAAGGAGGAGAGACAGGGATTTGGGTTGTTTACATCGTTTACTACCGTTTTTGGGGGTCTAAGAGCTAAAGCATCACGGAACAAAGAATGGCCATCACGCCAAAAGCGAGCCCATCCAGACTGTGTGCACTGAAGATGCAAACAGAAAGAACACCAAACAAGACTTTCAAGGAAGGTAAGGCCCCTTTAAAGGGCCAAGGCCGTCGCTACTAGGTTGGAGGCCATCTTCTTATCGATGTTTGGTTCATTTCTCTTTTCGGGGTCTCTATTTTGGCCGCACAAGTGTACAGTCAAATGCCACATGCAGGTCGTCAGACTTTCTTTCCGTGTGGCTGAGGTTTCCGCGGCTACCTCCCTTTACAACCCTTGGCAAGCACCAGCACGAAGCACAGAGCGCGGGGCGCGGGACGCGAACGCATGAAGGACGAACGGATGCCATCCCTTTAGTTGTTGAAAGACGGAACTGGACTCAGAAGGCAAGAAGGGGAAGGCTTTCTGTGCCCTGGGCCATGGCCCCTTGGTTTGCTTTCTTTTGCGATGTTTGTTTCTTTAGATGTTTGTTTCTTTTGTTTGTTATTTTTTTGCACTTTTGCCTTTTTACGTCGTGTTTTCTTTTCTAGGGTTCTTTTTGGCCATGATTTTGGGTATGGCTCTGTATGCTTTCAGCAAAACTCCCCGTCTTGGACAGACGGCGACACTGATCTTCCAGGTGCCGATGGAACTATGTAGACGTTGATGACTCCATCAACGTCAACAGGACAGAAAACGGGCCGCTAGCCGCTAGCTCGTGTGACGCTGATGAGCTGATGATTGTGTAGAAATGGCAAAGTGCTCCTGTATACAGAATATAGACCTAAAACTCAACTCCTAAAGAGGCTCTCCCTTTCAGTCTGTTTTCTTCAAAACGCAGGAAGTTTGACCAATATGACATCCCTTATGATGTTCTCTGGCTCGACATCGAGCACACAGATAGCAGCTGGCCCAGTGGCACGGACCGGCCACGTTTGAGCCAAGCCTCAAGCGCCAAGGCTGGCAAGTTGTTGCTCCATTTCCGAGGTAAGAAGTACTTCACCTGGCATCCAACTCATTTCAGCCAAGCTGGAAAGCTCTTGGATACACTGGAGGTGACGATCAGGGGGACATTGTGAGATGTCCTGTTGAATGTGGAGACGCACAGAAGCAGTGCCCACAAAAGATCACACAAAAAACACCACATAAAACACAGAGATTTGTATTCCCCTGACTGTCTCATCGAGTGCCGCATGAATTGGGTGATGTGCTGGTGCATGCTGGTGCCATTCGTTGTTTTCTTTTTGTGTATCTTGCAGGCGTCTGGGCGCAAGTTGGTGACCATCATCGACCCCCACATCAAGAAAGACACAGGGCACCCCGGCCAAGGAAAAGACGAAACCAAGGGATGACACACAAAAAATGAAGATTCCAAGGGATGGCACTTCATAGATCGTTCGAACGAGAGGTATGACGTCTACAAGAAAATGCAGGCACGTCATACCTCGCTCCGTTCTTTGCATTCAAGAACTTCGAAGTTTTGGTATGGAGAACGGGTTCGCCACCATGTTGTCACTATGTAGTTCTTGGCACCCGCCTTCAATACCCACGAAGTTCATTCCGATTCTTTGCAGTTTCATCCGGTTCATCTCTCCTTTTGGCCCGAAAGATTCGCCTGCCCCCCTCCAGTCGCACGACCTGTTCACCAAGACCAAAGACAAGCAACTCTACGACGGCGGGCGGTCCGCGGGGGACGTCCGCGCGGGAGAGCTGATGAATGCACATGATTGACTCATGCAATCACTCATCTTTGAGGTCATTGACTCATGGTTTTAGGTCCCCCATTTGTTTTAGCACGGCGCTTTTGCCAGGTTGGTGTTGGCCGGGCACCTCTTCATACCCAGACTTTTGCAATCCCGGGGCGACATAGCTCGACCGGGAACGGAGATTAAAGGGACAGATTTGGGGATTGATGTGATTGATGTTGACCATGTTTTTTCCCCAAATCCCGACATTGAGATTTAAAGACATTTAAAGGCATTGAGCTTTTGATTACAATGTCTTTAAACATAACCACATGTCGACTTACCGTGTTGAACCAACGCGATTCGAACGGCGCGTTGTGAACTTGGGTAAGACACCGGCTGGTCGTGAGGGCTTTCCAAGCTCGCTCGTTCGCCTCGAGGCTCGAAAGCTTTGGACCAGCTTTTTCCGGATGGACTACTATCCTCACAACAGGCGAGGGAGCGACGACTGGCGACTTTTGTTGGTTTTGGCGGTTCTCAGATCATCTATAGCCAGATGTTGGGTGTTCTTTTGGTAGATCTGTGAAGTAAATCAGGCATCTACAAGGTGCCCGCTAAGGAAAGAAAACAGCTCCTAATAAGCTGCAAGCAGCGACGCAAAGAAACGCGGGGGTGGCATGAAGAAACGGATGTTTTTCCAGACTGTTTCAAAGGCCAGTCACTCAGTGACTGGTGCATGACGAGGCCGGACCTCTACACGTGGAATGACATGAACGAGTGAAGCTCTCGGACTCGAGAAGGCAATGCGGTCACATCTCAGATGACTTCTAGTCACATGAATTCTAGACTTCTAGTGATTCTAGTCACTAGCAACATGATTTTGAAATACGTTGGCCTTGGGTCTCTTAGGTGTCCAGCTCAAGCTTGATAGGTGTCCTGATGGTCTATATAATGGCGTGTATGAGTCGGCGGGATGAGATTCACCATATGAGCTCAGGCCAAGTGTCTTCAATGGACCAGAGGTCACCATGCCGGGATCCGAACCTGTCACAGACAAGTGCAGAACGAGAAAATCCTCACAAGGCGAGGGACGCAAATCTAAGGCCACGGGACAATTTGCACAAGTGCAGCGAAAATGACTACAAGGTGAACACTGTGCTTAAAGACCTGACGAGAAAGAGAGAGGATATGTGGATATATGCGATGTTCCTTCTGGTGCTGTAAGATGAAACACAGGTCGAGCACCGAGACATACACAATGTCAAGGACTTAGAGGTGCAAATTGGACTCCGTATCTTCGGCAAAATCGTTTTGAGCACTGCGTGCGTGCTTTGTTGGACCTTTGTTGCCTTCTGGTTGCCTTTGTCGGCTTGAGGTTTATGGTTTTTTATCATCACATGGCCATGCCCTGAAGTGCTGTGTGTGGTTCTTTATTGCGCCGTGTTGGTGGATCCCTTCGGTGTGGGTTCAGTATTGGCATGGCTTTGGTGAGGCCACTGTGGAAGGACAGCTGGCACGGGCTCCAAATGTGGGCATCTCAAGTCTCAAGCACAAGTGTTACAAGAACATGTCAGTTTGATTGACGTTATATGACGTTACTATGAGAGCTTCACTCATGTTTATATACAGCGTCGCGGCGTTTCTTCTTTAGACGTACCATTGTTGATTTTGTCGGAAAAAGGAAAACATTCTTCATTTTAGATTTCATCCTTTGACAGGTGCGCCCCTTTGTGCTGACGCGGTCCTTCTTTGCTGGCTCTCACAGACATGGGGCGATTTGGACCGGAGACAATATGGCAAAGCCTCTTTGGCTGATTTGGAGTATCCGCATTCATATCCGTGTTACTGAGCTAAATTATCCTTTCTTTGTAAAGCTTCTTGCCCGAAAGCCCAAAAGCTTCAGGTCAAAATCGAAGTCGATTGAGTTTCTTTCCCATGCCATCTCAGCCAGGTGGGAGCACCTGGCCATCTCAGTGCCTATGCTTGTGTACGCCAACGAACGAACGCGGATGCTAGGGACGTTTCGAAGCCAAGCATGAGACCTTTTCAGCTTTGTTCCATGAAGGTCTCTTTGCCTTTGTGGAGCTTCTTTCGTTGGAGCCGACGTTCCGGGCTTCTTCTATGCCTGGCGACTCGGGACTCGAAGGAACTCGTGCGTCCGTCTCCTCTCGAAGGAGAGCACATGCGAACACTGAGGATCCAGAGCCGGAACTCTTTCGAAGGCCGGACGTCAGAGGTCAAGAGGATCACAGAGAGCCACACAGAGTCACAAGGGTCATGCTGGCTGAGGTGGCACCAGCTTGGCATCTGGTATCCATTTTACAGAGGCCATGCCCATTTGGAGCATTGACCTCAGGCAACCGCCATCAACAAGATGAGATTCGACCAGACTGACTCAGGACTAAGAGAAGAGAACCCTGGATGCTGGGAGATGCGATCATGCAGAATGTCCGAGAGCAGGCGTCCAAAAGCGAAAAGCGCCAAACAGCCCTTTGCTCCTAGTAGCGGTACCAGGAGCCCCGATGGTAGCGTCCTTGTTCCTAGTAGCGATGCCCTGTGCTCCTAGTAGCGATGCCAGGAGCCCCGATGGTAGCGTCCTTGTTCCTAGTAGCGATGCCCTTTGCTCCTAGTAGCGTCCTTGTTCCTAGTAAGGCCAGGAGCCCCTAGTAGCGTCCTTGTTCCTAGTAGCGATGCCCTTTGCTCCTAGTAGCGTCCTTGTTCCTAGTAAGGCCAGGGAGCCCCTAGTAGCATCCTTGCTCCTATTAGCGATGCCCTTTGCTCCTAGTAGCGTCCTTGTTCCTAGTAAGGCCAGGAGCCCCTAGTAGCGTCCTTGTTCCTAGTAGCGATGCCCTTTGCTCCTAGTAGCGTCCTGGTTCCTAGTAAGGCCAGGGGCCCCTAGCAGCGTCCTTGCTCCTAGTGGTAAGGCCAGGAGCCCCTAGTAGCATCCTTGCTCCTGTTAGCGATGCCCTTTGCTCCTAGTAGCGTCCTGGTTCCTAGTAAGGCCAGGGGCCCCTAGCAGCGTCCTTGCTCCTAGTGGTAAGGCCAGGAGCCCCTAGTAGCGTCCTTGCTCCTGGTGGTATGGCCGGGAGCCCCTAGTAGCGTCCTTGCTCCTAGTGGTATGGCCAGGAGCCCCTAGTAGCGTCCTAGTAGAAACAAGATACCTTGTGAACCTGTGCTTCACATCCTCGGAGGTCAGCGTGCGGTATCAGATGTTGCCCACTTGGTGCGGCCCTCGAACTGAACCTCAGATCCTTGACGCCGGTTGACGAAGCCGTTTGCGAGGTACACGCTCTTTGCCCAATGGGCTCATGCAGGAGTCCCTATCATGCAGCCCCTTTGGTACCAGGAGAGATTGATTTTTTCAAACGAACAGCCGTGACTCTTGGCGTTTTGGTGTCCAAACGTTGCGTTCCACGAGGAGCTAGGCGACCTGGAGGCGGAGACATGGGCGTTTTGCAAAGACTGATGCGAATGGCAGTCTCGACTGAGGCCTTTAAGCATCAGAATACCCACTATTTGCTGGGCTCTTGGGTTCTGAGCGAGTGACTTCGATGTGAGTGTGCGAGTGACTGACTGAGGCTGGGCAGTGACATCCTCGTCCGTGCTATCTCCAAAGCTGGAGAGAAGTCAGTGGATCTTTATTTGCAGCTTGTTTGAAGACTGAAATCGGACTTGGGTCAGACCCAAGTTGCCTCTCCCAAAAGAACGTTGGACTTGGTAGCTCGACAGGGGCACAGCCTGGAGCAAGAAACTGAAGAAAGAACACACAGGTTTTTTTTCTATAGACGGCCTCCAACCTGAAAAATCATGGCCTCCAACCTACTAGCGACCTGCACCCTAATAGCGATGGCCTCAACCCTACTAGCAATGACCTTCAACCTGATAATACGTTTTTATATATTCAGAACATTCCTTCCTTGGACCTCATCCCCGTGTTTTCTTTGTCGTACACCTCTCTCAGCCTTTCTCGCGGGCGCCGCCGTGGACGCTCAAGGCAGCTACACACGAGTTACTCCCATCCCATCTCTGACAAAACTGAAGATGAGAATGAACTTGCTTTCGATTGGTTCCTTCTTGTTTTCTCGGCCTTTCTACCCTTTTCTTTTCCCCTCACTTCTGGTCGGAACTTTTCATCCGACCTGTCGACATCCGACCTGCAGGCCATCGGGCACCTGGTTCGACTTCTGGGACCTGCAGGTCGGGACGATCGGCGAACTCGGCGCGACTCCTCGCGTGCTTCGCGAGACTCGAAGCGGTAGCAGGATAGAAGAACTGAAGGAACACGGAACCTGCCGGTGCTTAGTGAGTCTTAATTCTTGGTGATCATTAGGTCATATTAGGTCATTAGGTCGTACTCTGAAATCTCTCGAATAGACATTCCGAAGAGTTATGCCGTTGCGCAGTGCCATGCGGTGACGTCATTTGTAGCGCTTGTAATAGCTGTGATGAAGTGTGTGATGTGTGATGGGGTGAAGCCTTGCGGTGGTGATTTCTAAGCAGATGCGTTTCATTGATAAGTTAAGATATCCAGTGCCTGTAGCAGCCTTGTCCGCCAAGGGACGAGTGATGCAATAAAATGCAATAAATGCCCCGCAACTTGGGTGAAATCAGGCCTGAGTGAATCTGAATGATAGCAAAACCAGAGTAGTTTTGCTCAGGGTGTTCTAGATCGAAGCTTGCTCACAGCGCGCCACCAATCTGAATAGAGCAACCAATCTTGTGCACCGCAGTAGATATTCTATGAATTCCGTGGAGCACGTGTCAAACCCTAGGAGCAAGGACGCTGCTAGGGGCTCCTGGCCTTACTACTAGGAGCAAGGAAGCAACTAGGAGCAAAGGGCATCGCTACGAACGGAGTGATCGGACGCTCCTTTGGATGTCCAGCGGCGCACATGCAATGGAGAGAACCCTGTGAGATGTGCCATGCTGGGGATGGCAGTCCATGAGGCTATCGCTATTAGGTTGGAGGCCATCGTTATTCAATACATTTTATCATTAGCGTTTTCTGTACTTGTTGAAGAAGAACATTGTTCCGGCTTTGTACCTCAGGCGGCTCCACTCGCTGGTGGCAAGCACCACCGAAAGACCAGCCCAGAGCATGCTTGGGCCTTGAGGGAGGGGAGGAAGCTGAAACACGGGAACCCTTAAGCCTGACAAAACTTCACAGTTCAACTCTTAACGATGTTGAAGGTACCCGTCTTCGTGCGGTCTGGGGCCATCTTAGTAAAGAAGATGAGGCAGGGACCAAAGGTCGCAAGGGGATGCTGGAAGCAAGTCGTGCCAGGGGGGAGCGAAAACGAGGCATTCGCAAGGCATTTCCAAGCTTTGTTGCTAATCCGGTCCACCTATTAAAAGACACGGGGTCCCCCCCTTAATAAGGAAACCGCGGTCGCATTTTTTAAATAGGGGGTCCCTGAAATTGGGGTGGTCCAAAATAGGGTAATTTGAGAAGGGCTTCAAAACCAAAAAGTCACCCAGGAAAATGTTATGTAAAATCATTTATTAAACTCATATTTAAAAAATCAATGAACCTCCAGATCGAAGGTCTTCCTTTTCCCCCTACAACAACCTTTATTAGCATAGATATTCTTCATTAGACTAACAACTAAAGCTTTCGAAAGGTGATGTCGCTGTGCCATGCGGTTTTGCGTGACCTCGGTGGAAAGTGCGATTGCGTGAGTCCGTGCCATTGGGGGAAGGAAAGCCTGCTGGTGTAAACACGGCGTGTCATGGTGGATAGACAGGGTGGACAGAGGTGGGTAGTTACGGTTGTTATTGGGGAACCTATTTAAAAAAACTCCTCCAAAGTCGGCAATGTTGGTAGTTTAGTAGCGGCTTGAAAGGGTGGCAATTTAAACCGAATACAAACCGTATTTAGGGGTTTCCGACAATGACTTTTTTAATCGGGGCCCATTTTTAATAGGTACTAGGGCCCGTTTTTAATAGGTACTCGGGATTAACTTGTTTCATTTCCCTTTCTACCAGATTTCCGAAAGGCCTTCTGTTCCGAAAGCTGTAAGCGGCCGTGCTTTGTTAGACTTCAGATGACTTTAGGCTCTTTCCCTTTCTTCCGGTTCTTCCATAAGAGGTTGAACACTGTGAGCCTTATTCGATGAAGGGCGGGTGGTGCAACCTGTCAGGCGAAGGCGGAGCTCCATGTTAACGGCGGCTGATCCGTACACCCTCGTGATCTACGGAAATCCATCTCAAGGATCGAGCTTTGGAGAAGGTGTAGGGAACAAGAGGACGCGAACCGAACGGAACAAGGGAGCGATCGGACGCTACGAACGGAGCGATCGGACGCTACGAACGTAGCTCCTGGCCTAACTACTAGGAGCAAGGCAGGGCATCGCTATTAGTAACAAAGGGCATCACTACTAGTAGCATTCTTACTACCAGGATCGAGCTTTGGAAAATGTGTGTTCCTTGTTCCTGACAACATTGATTCATCCTGATTCATCTCATGTGCTTCTCCGCCGCAGGTTTTGTTTACCTTGATGATGGGCAGAGCCATGAGTTCAAGTATGAAACTTACAAAGCTTGTAGCTGCTAGTAACAATGTTCGCTACTAGGGGCTCCTGACATCGCTACTAGGAGCAAGGACGCTACTAGGGGGCTCCTGGCCGTACTTCTATGCGCAAGTAGCTACCAGTTAACATATGCCATCGCTAGTCGGGTGGAGGCCATCGCTATTTAGGTCAGACAAGAATTTCACGGTGAGCTCATTACAGGTCATGCTTGTTCCAAGGCAAGGAAAATTCATTTATGACAAGCTGTCCTTCAATGGAGAGGAACTGACCTCTCAGCTCACTTCTCAGATGGATAGATCCAGGACATGCTGATTCAACCTAGATAAATGCATCGCGCAGGAGGAGTGATGTGCAAATTCGTGCAACTAGGCCAAACCAGAGACTACACGCAGTCGGTCCAGCAAATGGAGGCCCCTTGTCTATGAATTGGGTGAAGACACGTCGCACAGGTTTCAACCCAAGAGTAGAAGTACTTAGTCAGTCATTCCCTAATGTCAGTCATTCGCAAAGGTTCCCTCATGTACTTATTGTGTATATAAACAAAATTGGACCCTCTCATGCTTTTTGTGTTCTGTTTGATCGCACTTTTCGTCTTGCTCCTGTGATTTCTGGCAAGGCTTGGGTTCGAAGCAGAGTACCCTCATCGAACGCCTGGTCTTCGTTGGGTCAACGCCTCGTAACGACTCCAGATGACTTAGGGTCATGAAAGGAACGGGAAGAAAGGCTGAGGAAGGTGTTTCTTCTTCTGGAACACCAAAACTACGCAACAAAGATGGGAAGATCATTAAGATCATCGTTTCTTCAGCAAACGAGACCGAGATCGTTTCGTCAGTGCTTTCGCATCGCATCGCTTCTTCGGCCTTTCGTCGTCTTCAGCGCGCCCAGGTTGAAATCGGCCCCACGGAGTGCCGTCGGCGGAGGGAAGGAGTTTGAGGCGCCGGCAGTCAGATCTCCAAAACTCAGCAAACTCGAGTGAAGAGTGCCAGGTGACCACGACTTCTATGAGCAATGGCGCATTTGCCCGCGGCTCCAAGTGTGTGGAATCAGCAAATCGAACACGTGCAACAACCAGCTCCAGTCCACTGCAATCAGGTGGCTAATGTCAAGAAGCCCATGTGCAACTTAGGGACCTCGTGGTGCTTGGCCCAGCGATGCGATGAATGCGAAAGAACATCTGCATGACAGTGATCTTTCCGACTGACTCAGTGAGACTTCTCCGTCAGGAAGCTACAGCTCCTCTTCTGACGGCACGATCGGCGGTTTTCGCCAGACCGGTGGGGTCTCGGTGTTCGCCACGAAAAAGGGCCGCCTTTTCCTGCCGGTCGCAAGACAGGAAGGCAGCATGAAGTTCCAAGGATTCATATTAGACACCTGCAAATGACTAAGACTGATCATTCCTTCCAAGGACACTTGGAAGTTCCAAGACGACCTTCCAAGATTAGAAGAAGGCTATAAGAATGACTAAGACAGTTTAAACTCTTTGTGACAAGGTTTCAGCGACGGGGGCAACAAGTGCAAAGACCTGAAAATCCAATGTTCCGGTAATGTGGCAGGAGAATAAACATGCACCTTATATAGATATATTTATCACGAAAGCTAGCGAAGCTAGCTGGAGTTACTCTTGCGATAGCAAGGTTTCTTTCGACCGGGTGCAAATCCTAACCCCTGATTTTTCAGGTCGAA